ACCATTATTTTCTGCTTTGCAGTATTTTAAACTGATGGTTCCCAATGCAGTGCCTTACATTCACCTTTTCCTATGTCCGTGTTATGCATGTCATGTGATATGCAACCAGTGAGCAGTGGGGGAAAACCTCTGTGACTGAAGAAAAGCACTGCAGTGCTTCGAATGGCACCAGAGGTCCAGCACAACCTGTAGCACAGCAGTTTTCTACGAATGCAGTACATCGTGTTACAAAGTAATGATAGGAACAGTTGTATCAAGGAGCCACGTTTAGCATAATAAAATAATGTACAGAAAGAGAAAATGCAGCAAAAATGTACAAAGAAGATGAAAGAAGGAAACAGGAAACATCTATGTTGATGTTATGTCATCTCAACAGAACCATCCCTCCAAACCAGAATACTCTAGTTCCCTAATTCTTCACTACTCCTGATGAATTTTGGATGAAGACAAAAGGGGGATTAATAATAATAAACATTTATTTAGCAATGCATTTGATAGATATGCTATCAGTAATTTCAAATCTCTATCTAACTGTACAAAACCCAAGAGAGTCATTAGAGGAAAACTGAAACTAAGGATGAAGTGAAAACAATTTGTAAAAAAAAAAAAAAAAAAAAAGAAAGAAAAGGTAAACAGCAAACTAATTAGGATTGAGTGATGTATTCCCATACCACTCCTGCTGGGGTTCATCAATCACAAGGAGAATCTTAAACTTCTTGGATGTCGTGACTTGGGTCTGCTCCATGAGCCCTGCTGAGGCAGCTGTCTGCTTTACAACATTGGTGATGGAGCTGAAGAAGCCAGCACCGGTCGACTGAGAAAGCTGAGGTTTCCTCTCTGGAGCAGGGGAAGCAGCTGGAGGTGTTGGCCCGCTTGTTGGAGACTTGGCGGGGGTGGAGGAAGCAGGTGGAGGAGGCTGAGCTGGGTCAGGCCTCTGAAGATCTGTCATGTAGCCATTGGGCAGGTTGGAGATGAAGGTGCTGTCTGAGAGACGTCGGCGCAGGTAATTCATGGCTGGAGAGAAGTAAACAAGAGCTTAGGTGTGGAAAAATCGTCCTGTAGGGTTCTCCGGGGTTGTGGGAGTGTAGCTAATGGAGGCTGGGGTCTCCGTACAAACTCTTAACGAATGTAGTACCTCCCAGCTTTGCAGAGCATCCTCCAAGCTTTCCCTCAGTGACGCTACAGCTTCCAGCAGCCAATCCCCTCTCCCTGTGCTTTTCTCAAGCATAGCACATGATGCTCGACTGTGCCTTCCTCCCATCGTCCTCTCCTCTCTCTCTCTCAGTGGCATGCCTGGTTTCCCTACCCCTCCCCCATTTTCTATTGCTTTACATGCATCATCCTTTTCTGAACCACCGTACAAAAAAGAGGGGTTTCCAGTGGATGTGGTAGGGACCATGTAATACATCACAAAGGCTGAACACCTAACGCCCTACTTTGATGGGATTCTCTGCCCACTTTCTATAAAGAGCATTTCTATCAGCCATGGATTCTAAAATGGCTGTTTGGACCAGTGGGCAGCAATGAAAGGAAGGAAACGTCAGCTGCAGAGGTCCCTCGAGACAAACGCATCCAGTAAACACTCCTGTTTGCTTTATCAAACCCTATAGCTTGACCTGAAAATCATCTGTTTTTATAAATAAATATGAAAGCATCACAGCAAAAGAAAAACAAAGAAGGTGAAAATACAGGGTTTGATGTCTAAAAAAGGCTTTGCAAGGTGTCCAATCAATTTTGAGCATGTGGAGCAACACAAATCTAGAGGCAACACGGTTCATCTCTGACAAGAACATTCACGAGCAGTTGCAGGATGAATATTCAAATTATGGATACTTTTCTATCCCCTTATATTTTAAGAATCCAAATTAACCAAAAAAGGGGACACAATAATATTTCTACCTGACATTTTTTTATACTGTTTTTCATATTTAAATGCTGATCATCAGTCTCACAGGTATAGATAGCCAGAGGAACTGGTTGACTTTCATAAAAACTGGAACATGCATCTAGACGCCTACCTACCTATCCCCTTTTTAGAACTGTAAATTTACAGTCATATGTTTATATTACTGTTTATATATATATATATATANGTCAAAATGTAGAGAATGAATTTCCCCATTGTGGGAAATAAAGGGATTTACATTTACACATTACATTATTCAATGATGCAAGATGAAAATTTTCAGACTTAATGCCTTGGTTGCAGTTGACTAAGTATTCTGCTTTCTATCCAAATAAAAACACAAACAAACAAAAATAAAAGCTTCATGCAATAAACCAAAGGCTTTTGCATGAAAATGATCTATCCGTTAAATCCACTCTAACCCTATACAAATAAGTGTTCATCATAAAATGTTTCAGTTAAAGTGGATTGCTGCTGGATAGGCTTCTACAAGAAGAAATGCACTCACTTTACTGATTCTAAGTGCAGCATGCAGACAAAAATGTTTATTTATCCTGTCCAGCAAGATCACCCTGGATACCAGGCACCATCAGGTTAAAATGCTTAATTTTTAATTCCATGCTCTTCTTTCTAATGAAATGAGGGTCATTTCCTAGAGTGGGAAATGAAACGGATTCAATGATGATACAACCATTATTTTCTGCTTTGCAGTATTTTAAACTGATGGTTCCCAATGCAGTGCCTTACATTCACCTTTTCCTATGTCCGTGTTATGCATGTCATGTGATATGCAACCAGTGAGCAGTGGGGGAAAACCTCTGTGACTGAAGAAAAGCACTGCAGTGCTTCGAATGGCACCAGAGGTCCAGCACAACCTGTAGCACAGCAGTTTTCTACGAATGCAGTACATCGTGTTACAAAGTAATGATAGGAACAGTTGTATCAAGGAGCCACGTTTAGCATAATAAAATAATGTACAGAAAGAGAAAATGCAGCAAAAATGTACAAAGAAGATGAAAGAAGGAAACAGGAAACATCTATGTTGATGTTATGTCATCTCAACAGAACCATCCCTCCAAACCAGAATACTCTAGTTCCCTAATTGTTCACTACTCCTGATGAATTTTGGATGAAGACAAAAGGGGGATTAATAATAATAAACATTTATTTAGCAATGCATTTGATAGATATGCTATCAGTAATTTCAAATCTCTATCTAACTGTACAAAACCCAAGAGAGTCATTAGAGGAAAACTGAAACTAAGGATGAAGTGAAAACAATTTGTAAAAAAAAAAAAAAAAAAAAAGAAAGAAAAGGTAAACAGCAAACTAATTAGGATTGAGTGATGTATTCCCATACCACTCCTGCTGGGGTTCATCAATCACAAGGAGAATCTTAAACTTCTTGGATGTCGTGACTTGGGTCTGCTCCATGAGCCCTGCTGAGGCAGCTGTCTGCTTTACAACATTGGTGATGGAGCTGAAGAAGCCAGCACCGGTCGACTGAGAAAGCTGAGGTTTCCTCTCTGGAGCAGGGGAAGCAGCTGGAGGTGTTGGCCCGCTTGTTGGAGACTTGGCGGGGGTGGAGGAAGCAGGTGGAGGAGGCTGAGCTGGGTCAGGCCTCTGAAGATCTGTCATGTAGCCATTGGGCAGGTTGGAGATGAAGGTGCTGTCTGAGAGACGTCGGCGCAGGTAATTCATGGCTGGAGAGAAGTAAACAAGAGCTTAGGTGTGGAAAAATCGTCCTGTAGGGTTCTCCGGGGTTGTGGGAGTGTAGCTAATGGAGGCTGGGGTCTCCGTACAAACTCTTAACGAATGTAGTACCTCCCAGCTTTGCAGAGCATCCTCCAAGCTTTCCCTCAGTGACGCTACAGCTTCCAGCAGCCAATCCCCTCTCCCTGTGCTTTTCTCAAGCATAGCACATGATGCTCGACTGTGCCTTCCTCCCATCGTCCTCTCCTCTCTCTCTCTCAGTGGCATGCCTGGTTTCCCTACCCCTCCCCCATTTTCTATTGCTTTACATGCATCATCCTTTTCTGAACCACCGTACAAAAAAGAGGGGTTTCCAGTGGATGTGGTAGGGACCATGTAATACATCACAAAGGCTGAACACCTAACGCCCTACTTTGATGGGATTCTCTGCCCACTTTCTATAAAGAGCATTTCTATCAGCCATGGATTCTAAAATGGCTGTTTGGACCAGTGGGCAGCAATGAAAGGAAGGAAACGTCAGCTGCAGAGGTCCCTCGAGACAAACGCATCCAGTAAACACTCCTGTTTGCTTTATCAAACCCTATAGCTTGACCTGAAAATCATCTGTTTTTATAAATAAATATGAAAGCATCACAGCAAAAGAAAAACAAAGAAGGTGAAAATACAGGGTTTGATGTCTAAAAAAGGCTTTGCAAGGTGTCCAATCAATTTTGAGCATGTGGAGCAACACAAATCTAGAGCCAACACGGTTCATCTCTGACAAGAACATTAACGAGCAGTTGCAGGATGAATATTCAAATTATGGATACTTTTCTAACCCCTTATATTTTAAGAATCCAAATTAACCAAAAAAGGGGACACAATAATATTTCTACCTGACATTTTTTTTATATATATTATGTATATGTATTTTTCAAGGCTGCACTTTTAAAAAAAGATGAAATTGTCCAGAGAGCTATTCCAAACGAAATTTCTTTTTGTTTTACAATGGTGTAAACAAAATAACTAATACAATCTAAGTCTCTAAATCTAATCTATCTGATGTTTTTTTTTTCTCCTTTGTGTTTGACACGTGCAACAGTGACACCTGCTGGTTATTTTACTTTAGTGCATCCATCCATCGTACGATAAACTTTATTAAGCATTAAGGTCCCAATGGTCACTTCTGATAATGTTAGTCCCAGAGAGGAGCTGTGTCATTAAATCCAAGTCTGCTTTTTAAAAACTATTATGCAATTTGTGTAATTTATTTTAACGCATGCTTTTTTAAATCCCCAGCAAGTCGAAAATACAACGTAATATTACAGTTATTATAGTTTCATGTTATGACATGATTGTAGATCAGGTGGATTCGTAAACATCCCTCGTCTCCTCGGTGGGGCTGGCCTTTTGTTTGAAGGCTCCTCCTCCTGTGATGGGAAAGTACACGAAGAAGCAGAGCACAAACTATAGTTTTGTTGATGTAGGACCTAGATTATCGATCAAGTAAGTAACGTTAGAGGTTTACTGTTGTTTGATATTAGGATTGTTGGATTAAGAATAATCAATTGTCATTAACGACGTGTCAATGTCTCATTTTTAGCTAAATATGAACTTTTAAACCGAGTTTGCGACTGTGCTCGTTTTAGTTAGTTACTTAGCTAAAGGTAGCATTCTACTTCCCTAACTCCCTTTAAAGACTATTACAACATTATTAGTTTTCTGAGTGTGTTTTTCTAACACCACTATAACTTAGTCGTGTCGTGTAGCTATATAATGTCAAGTGTTAAAATGAAACAATTTGAAAGAAGTAAAGTTTTAGCAGCTAGCTTAGTGGCTAACAGTTGGTTAGCTGTGCTGCTAGCCCGTGGGTGTTTGAGCCTGTTGGGACATAGTTTGATAATGAAAAAATATCGTTAGGAAATTAGCTTTTGTCAAATATGTTGAATTAGAACGCTTTTTACAATATGAAATTCACCAGTGTCTCTTTTTTAAAGGACCTACGTCAGCGTTGTTTCGTTGTGTGGGGGATAGCCTGCTAACGTCAATGTTAGCACCTAGCCTGTACACATAAATGCTTTGCACTAGAATGGACCTGTTGAACTCTCAGTTCCTGGACAAGATGAACAATAACATTGGGAGACTGCACTACGACGGTCAGTTTATCCATTATATTTCTATATGTTTAGAAAGCTTGATTTACAAAGCACTACTGTTACATTACAGCACATTTACCTCCTGTTTTATTGCATTCACTCCACTAATTCAGCTCTTGCTTGTTGAATTGTAACATTTAATGATAATGTTCTTAAAACATAATCCAGAAATTCAATTATTTTTTAAAAACATTCGTTTTTATTTTACATTCAGCAGAATGCAAGAAAGAAATACACAGAAGTAATGTTATTCATAAAAATAAAGTTTCTCCCCTATATCTTGCATTGTTCATTTAAATATTGTAAGGTTTTTTAAAAGCATTTGACACTTATGTGACATTTTAACTCTATAAAAAAGATCAATTATAGATTATAATAATTTCTTTCGATTCACTTGTTGGACATTTATTGTATTTATTAAACATGTATACAATTATGTCAAGCAATCATAATCTTTCAGCGTTTTTCAAATTTATCATATAATAAACATTGCCAATGTTTATAACTGTAGAGAGGAGAGGGTTAAAATCAAGGTACCTGAGTGACTATCCCTATATTAAGTTATTATGGTTTATTGTGGCTTCTAATATTTTGGGTAAAGGAAATGGTAGAGTTAAATTCAGCTGTTTAGAGCTTAATCGCACTATAAATCTGACGGATCCTACCTGGACTAGACTCTCTCCATGGTTTTTCCTCTTTTTTTTATTTTCCTTATGATTATTACCTCCAAGTCTATTGCTTCAAATTAATTTTTTTGTTTAAGGTCTCCCTTCAAAGTTGTATACGCAATTTACTAATTTAAATGGGATGAACCACATCTGTATAGCTTGGATTATCCATAGGTGACAATCGCTGTGGATCAGCCACAACATTTCCACTTATAGCATTTTTTATTTATTAATTTTTCCCTTACAGTTGAACGTTCTTTATTTGGATTCTTTGAAGATCTGAACTTATGTATGGAGAACTAACACTGCTCATAACCTTGAACACGGCATCCTGACTTTGCCATGTTCTCAAACCCAAAACAGAGTTTGTAGATGTGCAAAGCAAGCAGAGAAATAACCCAAAACACCTCCAGCTGTAAGAAGGAACCAAAAGGGGTTTTTCAAAGCAGTGACTCTTGGGGACTTTACATAAAGGTTGCATATGTTAACTTATAAAACATTTACAATTTATAAAATAAAAAACAAACAAAAAAACCACTATTGCATACAAGAGAGCAACTAGTCTAAACTTGTCTTCCTTGTGTAAATCGTATTGGAATTTTTTAATCTATTAAACAACTTACTAAAACCCCCCCAGTCGTTGTCCCAATAACCTGTATATAAGGTGCTAAATTCATATTTACAAAAATATACAAAATATACAAAAAGGTAATGGCCCAAATTTATTTTTTAGAAAACTGATTTTATGATTATATTCTTATTTCTTTTTTATATTTATTATATTCTGATCAACTAAATTTGAAATTGTTTTCATATATAATTTTTAAGATAATATACCAGGTCAACTAGTAAAAAGTTATATATTTTTAATCAATAATCCTTATTTTGATACATAGTGATAGAATGTAAAAATTGAAAAGCTTCTGCTGATTTTATTCCACAGATGAGTCCAGGATCCCCTCTTTGTCTGCTGCTGTGTCCACCATAACTGGGCCCTCCCCACTCTGCCCCAACAAACGGAAGTATGGGGACGAACAAATGGAGAACAGACTCAACTGTGACGACGACCACATGACCAAAATGAGCAGAATGTTTGCTACTCATCTGTAAGTGCACCACACAGCATAAGTCACAAAGTTATATCAAGTTAATTAATATTTTTTATTCAGTTTTAATTTCCATTTAGGAGATATAGATCAGTTAATGGAATGTAACGATGACGACTGCAGAAAACTCAATTTTAAGCATGCTTTATGTAATACCCAATAAATGCACAATTTGTTATAAAGAACAAAACATTGAAGAACCATTTACTCTTTACCTGCTATAATCGTTTAAGAGAGCTTTTTTTCTGTTGCTTCATTAATTCCACACTACATCTTCTTCCGCTAGCTCATAAATCTGACACAGTAAGTAGCATTTATGTTAGTTATGTACAATCCGATTGATCTGGTAGGCATATTTTTTTGCTCTGCTGTTGTTTTGTTCAGGGCTCGTCCCTCTGCTGGAGATCACCGCAATGAGCACTGGAGCCTCAGCCACAGTCCTGTGGAGCATATTAATACCTCCTCTAATGGTATCCATGGGAACCACCCATATGCATCCATTTCTGGTTACGCTATAGATCAGCCTCTGGCTTTGACCAAAAGCTACAATAACTCTGAAGTGTCAAGGACTGTCCAAAGTGGTACCACAGAGCGTCAGCAGGTACATCATTTCTGACTGGTGTTTGCATGTTTTTAATAGCCTGTGATTCAGGGTAGAAGCTGTGCTGTGGGTTAGCTTAGATGTTTAAAGAATCAGTTAAAATCCCATTAAATCTTGTATGACCAGATGAAAACATTTGTCAAATGAAGTTTAAAACTGTTTTGTCAAAACAGTTGGGCGCTGCACTTCTGCGTGAGACGGTAAACATAAGAATGTCGGCATAGAAAACAATCTGCCCTTTTTCATTTGCTGATATCAAAATGTGCAGCTAATGGTTAACCCTTGTCGACTCAAAGGTGGTTAGACGTGCCTTTATCATATGCAGTTGAATTTCTAGTTTTGGTTGAAGCAAAAAAACTCTTATGTAAAAGAAATGTAACCCATGGTATTAAATACTCTCAGCTCATTTGTTTGAGCTTTTTCTCTTGAGATAATTTGACTGAGATGTGTATCTCCACATTCTTTTACTAAATGATTACTTTTTGTAGCTAAAAGGCTTATCAAATCTCTGCTGAAATGTTCTGTTCAGCTTTGAATATAATAGTTTGGTGATTTTAAAGTGTTTTTTCAAAAGTACCTATAAGTATCATGAATACTAGGTCTATCAGTACAAAGAATGTTACGGTTAGAAATATTACTAGTCAGGATGTTTAACAACATTTTTACCGTTTAGCTTTTATGAAACTCCTTGAATATGTTAATATTTTTATTTTTTTTTTTAGAATCGACCCTCCGTTATCACATGTGCTCCAGCCAGTAACAGGAATTGTAACCTCTCTCAGTGCCACATGAATGGCTGCCCCCCCACTGCAGCCGACGAGCAGAGGAAGACAAATGGTAAACCTTAATGTAACATCATTACTCTGGTAATCTTGTTGAAATGGGACCTTAAATTGAGCCATTAGATCTGTAAGCAGTTGTGTTTTCAAACAGTCGGCCTGATTACAAAGCAATGAGATATTTCAGCTTTACCCACATTCATTCCCCAGAAGTGCCGGCAGCATTCGGGTCAACGTCAGTGCCTTGCAATTAAAAAGCAATCAGTGTGCTTGCTTCTCATAGTTTCATTTTAAACTGTTTAAAAAAACCCATCTCATTATTGTCGTACTTAACTAGAGTTAAATATTAAAATGTTGAATATTTAGTAAAAGTGCAGTTTTACTGCCAGTCCAATGCTACACATGGAGCGATATATTCCAAGTCTTTCTTTCTTATATTTTTATTCATTATTGATAACAGATAATGAAAACCCAACATTTTGTGTCTCAGAAAATTAGAATAATGTGAAATGATCCCTCGTTGGAAAGTTGTGGTGTCACACCACAATTAGCTCATTACCTCAGAACACCTGCAAAGTTTTTTTTGAGCCTTTAAGCGGTCTCTCTCTCTCTCTGGGTCACTAGGCTAAACTAGGCTCAAACTGCTGACTTGATGCACATTCAGAAGGCAGTCATCATCTTCATCCTCCTCAAAGAGGTTGAGCCACAATATTCAATTGTTGAAGAAGTTGGTTGTTCACAGAATGCTGTATATAAGCATATTAACAGAAAATTAATTGGAAGGAAGAAGTGTGGCTTGATGAACCTGCTTCACAGAAAGGCACTGAGTCACACTCATTCGAATAACAGACACCTGCTACGAATGTCACTTTCTTCATATCAAGCCACTCCTGAACCAGAGACATCATCAATGAATGAATTAATCTTTAGTTGATCCGTCTTAACGATTGACTAATGATTGATCAGCTATCTGTTGGAAAAAACAAAACAAAAACATCCTTAGTTTTCACTTGAATCAAGAGGATCTTTCCTTTAGCATAAGGGCTTAAAAAATTGGTACATCTTTATACTTTGATAAGGTCTTGTGCCAGCTGTATTACATATTGACTGAAAAAAACAATATTTTCTTACACATTGTTAAACAAGACAAATTTGGAAGATATATCAAAACAGGAACTAAGGTCACTAAATTGAAAGATCTATCAAATATGTGAAAAACAGGATTTCCAATGTACAGAGATGTCAAACTCTTTATTAAAGACAGGATATGTCACTCTGACATGCTGTCAGACTATTGCCACTTTGTTTCAATAAAGTAGACAACAACTTTAATGTAGATCTTCATATTTAGTGTAATCCAGTATTTGGTGCTTGGAGAGACTTTGTGCTCCAAGGTTTAACCACCTTGGAGCACAGCATCTGCACTATTTATATGATAATTTAATGTATTTGAGTGTTTATATCTAGAAATAGAACCTCATAAAGTTCATTCTGTCTGCTTGTCACTATTAAATGCAATCAATCCATGTCTTCTATGTAGCATGTCTTGGTTCTGCCATTAGCTATTACTTTTTTTGCAATTACCAGTGAGGCTCCGCTTGAAAATCAACAGCAGTGCCTTCTAGTGGATAAGAGAACTACCTTCTAAGCAGGTGCTATCAATTAATTGGATGCATCAAATGTAATCTAATAAACCATTAAGAGACAATTAATCGGGGTCCAGTAAAGCAGGCAAAAAAGAGAGGAGAGACTTTCTCTATACAGCACAGTTCCCACAGGTCCTTAAACTCCTTACAAGTTTGGGAATGAGTGTAGAAACCATAAATGAAACCTATCCTTGAAATTCTCTGAAACTTTTTGTGGTTTGATTTTTTATTTTTTTTTCCCATGGATGAAAATTGCATTCAGTGGTTCGTTTACTTTGGTTTGTTCAGGATTAGCTTCCTGTGTTTCCTGAATGTAATCGGATTAATGCGTGCGTAGAAACATACATCGGTGCAACCAGTCTTTTCGTAGGGGAGAAATTACAGGGGATTTCAGGATTTGGGTCTTGCTCAAGACAGTTGGACCCCCCCCCCCAAAAAAAAATAAATTAATAATATGGTTAATATTTGAAGAGAATTTTTTTGTCTTGCCTTATTTTCAACTTGTGCGTCATCCTAACTTTGGTGAGATTAAGATGAAAAGGTTTTTGCAGCTCGGTAGCACTTTGGGTCAGATTTCCAACAATAAGGTTTTAATTAAAATGAGATCTAGTCATAAAAGAACTTCAGGTTTTTACACCTAGACCTTTATCCTAATCTTTAAGGAAACTACCTCTCACATGCATGCTAAAATTAAAAGTGTCATAAAAAACTTTTATACCATTTATTTTTTTTTAATATAATTTGGATTTTATTAAAATAATATGTAATATTCTATATTAGCTATAACTAATATAATAAGCTATGGGAGTACCTAAAGTCCTCCTCATACGAGTTTGAGTAAAGTGATCTAGGAAATTCCTTGAAAGATCCTTGAATTTGATGTTAACCAAAGTGAGGGAACCCTTTTTGGTTTTCCTTGGTTCAAAACATTTAAAACTGACTTTTTTAATTTTATGTTGTATCTTTTTATTGATTTAATGCAATCTTATATAATAGTGCTTTCTTCCTTTCAATTATTTTCAGCCAAGACGGTATGCGACCCAGTTATCGAGGAACACTTCCGTCGCAGTCTTGGAGAAAACTACAAAGAAGCGGAGGCTGTCTCTAATTCGGTGTCCATCACAGGTTCTGTGGATGACCACTTTGCAAAGGCACTGGGTGATGCTTGGCTTCAGATCCAGGCCAGGGGTACAGGCCAGCAAAATCCAGAGGATGAACCATAAGTGGCAGTGGGAAGAAATGAATAGATTAGAGTCTATGAGCGAGTTGAGAGGTCTCATTCTCATTTCTAGCCAAGAACAGTGTAAGAATGTGGCGCTCACATAGGTGGTTCCTGCCTGGACTTCAAGGTCAATCTTTTAGAACATCTGATCAGGCTTTGTCATTTTAATTTATCAGAATTCTCCCACAAAGGAACGATTTGATATTGAATCATTTAATGATTGTGTAGAAAATGCACATAATCATTCTGTAAATTTCAAAGTAGTCAGTTTGAAATCTTTCACCTTCCTGCCTTTTAGCCAAAGACTTTCCCTGCCTTTTACCATCAGCCTGTAAGCCATACATCAATTCTTTCAATGTCACTCTAAGATCACACTGCTTTCTAATCAATATTACTTGAAAATGACAGCTATGTCTCTTTTGCACTATTATGTTCTCCACCTTTGGGGTAGCAGGTTACCTGTTGGAAGTAATATGTGCAACTATGCGTTTTGAGATTTATATAAGTCGATTAAGGCCTTGGCCTTATTACTTTCAGAAAACACTAGATTAAACCTTCATTTTTATGTTGGTGAACTGGACTTATCCACTGTGTACTAACTAGTTACTTATATACGTTCACTAAATCTGATTACACAACTCCACTAATATCAATTGTAGTTACACGTTAAATAGAAAGCATGTTACAGATAGTTGTTTTCTATTACAGACTATTCTAAAACGATGTATTTAGCCAGATTTTATTTTTATCTGCTATATTTTAGAAATACTCACTGCTGGTACAGTTGTACTCCTACTATTTTTTAAAATTGCATATCTGAGCATCCATTTACAAATTGCGGCCTCTGGAAAGGCTGTCTTTGCAGTTTTACCAGCTGCAGCTACAGAGCTGGATGTTGTAGCTTAATACGTGACTGAATATGGCTAAATCTAATCCTCTGTGTTCTAGCTGATGAGCAGTGACTTTATTTATTCTACATATTTTGATTTTTGTGAGAGTTTAGCTTTGGAGGGGATTTCTCAACTTCATTAACAAAGAAGTTGATTTCACTTTGCCATTTTAAAAATACACTTAAATAACCTTAGTTTTGAAGTTTGCATAAACATTCCACCACTGCTGTTTGATTTTTAGCTGTCACATCAGTCGTGCTTAGTGAGTACTGTTACAATATTGTACACGGGTTTTACCCTTTAAATGCCGTTTTAATATTGCCATTTTTAAAATTAAAGACCTATGGTGTCAGAGATCAAATCTGTGATACAGCTCTGGTTTATTTAGTCTCATAATAAGACTTTTGTTATTCTCGTCATCTTACCTTTCTAAAAAAAAATTGTGTCAAAAAAACCTAAATGTGTCATAATGCAAAAACGAGAGAAAAATTTTGAAGTAAAAAGAAAAAATAACTTGCAATGGCTGTTATTGGTATAAATGTAAAAAGTGACCATTGGTTTCAGCCCCCCTGCAGGAATAAGTTGTAAACACCTGACTGCAGCTGGAATGGGCCAGTAGAGTGTGATGATTTTTTTTTTTCTTCTCTGGTTGCTGCATACTGATTCTTGAAAAGGTTTTCAAACCTTTTATCACACGTTAAAAGTTTAACCATAAAACACAAATGAATTTTAATTTGACTTTTCATGACAGGGCAACAAAACGTTGCACATAACTGTGAGGTGGAGAGAAAAGGATACAAAATGTTTTACGTTTTTCAAATATTTCTACGTTTTGTAATGATTAGGTAATTCTAATTAATCTACTTTAATGTTGATACTTCCCTGTCTGTCCCCTCAGCATAATCCTGACACCACCATGTTTCCTCATAGGAATGGGGTATTTAGCTTCATGCCATGCCATTTATTTTATATATACCAAAAAGTTTTGTTGTTGGCTTTTGATATTGTTTCATGACCTAGCCCTGCTCTAGATTTCTCTTCAAATGTTTTTCAACAAACCTCTGAGACCCTAACAGAACAGCTGGATTTCTACTGAGATTGAATCTCAAAAACAACAACTTAATTCACTAATACGCAGTTGGTTGCACTGGAGTTTATTCAGGGATGCTGGAGTACAGGGGGTGAATAAAAATGCAGATTTGAGGAATTTTAAAAAATGTATCATTTTCTTCCACTCCACACGTATGGACCATTTTTTCTGTCCTGTAAAATCAAATCAAAGCTGATTGTTTTAATGTGAAAAATTAGATAACGTTTCCAGCACACGCATTTAGTAGTGTCATGTTTTGTGATTTGTTATTTTAGTTATCCTTTAGAAGTTTACCACCCATGTTTTCTTAATATTGACTTACTTTTTATAAAGTTATATAATCTTTTCTACTTTATTTTACACATTCAAGACCATCATTGCGCAGTGCGGAATGATCAGCAATATTTGCTTTCCTTTCTGACTACTTAGGAGGTAGAATGACACAATATTTTATATTTTCTAGAGTTTTCCTTTAATCAGTGCAGCTTTTTGACATTGATGCTTCATTTGTGCAGACTTCTTTAACCGTCTGGGCTTTCTGTATGTATTTGTAGAGGGGATATTGGATCTGCTTGTTTGACACAAGTAAAAGTTTCACTAATGTATTTGGTGGTATTAGGCCTGTATTTAATGTTTTTGAATACGTGCATCTGAAAGACTGTATAAAGTTCCGGTTTTAGGAGTTATCATTGTAGAAAATTTTTAAGGGTTTTTCATCTTAATTTCTCTGGAAAACAACTTTTGTACTTTAATATTTTCCAAATAAACTAAATAGTTAAATGTTTGTGTTTTGTGTGTTTTCACTTCCTTCATGCTATATATTTATCAGAAAGCTGTCATACAATTTTCAGGCTATAATGCTGGTCTGCCAAGTCTCTTTCAGGTTGAAGTTTTCCAGGTTGGATTTTTTAAATACATTTATACTCATATTGCACATGTAGTAATCCTGAAGTAGTGAGGGTGCTCTTCAAATGCATCTAGTTTTTAAATGTGCTTAGATTTAGCTTAACAGATCCGATTTAAATAAGTCAGTGGAGGTGGCTGGACCTCTGTTTCAGGTGCCGCTGTGGATGGTGGTACTGGCACATTCCTCTGGGAGGACGGCCCAGGACATGCAACCAAGTGCCTTCAGAAGAAGACACATATATATAGAGAGATTATATAATTTATGCATAAAAAGGGCTGAGGTCAGATAACAATTTTTTTTTTTATAGGAAGCACAGAGCGCCGTTCAAACCATTATCTGGAAATTAAAAAGGGTTTAACTTAATCTAAGAAAGAAGTGTTAAAAAAAACCAACCACGCTAGCACAGCTAGTACTCTGCATTCGATGAAACCTTTTTAGAGAACAAGCCAGATAAGTTTGCAAGCTAAGGGTCAGGTGGGGGGGTTCACCTGCCAGCAGGATACACTTAAACAATCACCCATAAAGCAGAACTCTTGGTTCTTTGGTGCCCAAGGCAATAGTAGCACTTTACCCCCTGTCCCCTTCCCAAAAATCACCTCCACAGTTATTCCAAAATAATTTTTTTTTTTTAAACGTTCACCCCAAAACTTTTTAAAGGCAATAATCAGGAAGATAAATCTAAGTCTGAAGGATAGCATTACAATAACCAACAAATTAAATGAATAGAAAGCAACAATAAGTTCTACAATCAAAATTAAAACTAAAATAAGGTTAAGACAATGACTTTGAAAGGCAACAGCCAAAAAGAATAAATGTTATCTTTAAAAATGAATACCCCAGTGCTACCAGGGAGGGTGCAAAATCAAAAGTAGCATAAAACTGGGAAATCAAAGGCAAAACTCAAAACTATTGTGTCATTGAAAAGGATTTCTACTTTCCATTTTGGTTAAGGTTATAGATAAAGCTTAACATTATAACACAATTTGAAATCAAAGTAATCTTAAACTATAGAGGAGCTCTAAGATCTTAGTTATATAAGTTATAGTTGCTTTGTTTTAACACCAAAACCTCACCAACATACCTTTGATTGTTGTTTTGTTTTTTTATTCTGCCACTTTGCGCGCTGCCCAGCTGATGCAGCGACCTGTGTCACCTGTCGGTAAAGCCGCCCCCAAGCAGAACAGTGTAGATCAAAGTATATTTAATGTTCGAATGGCCAAAACCCAATCTAAATACATTTTTATAAATAATTGAAAATCACATATGCACATTCAATGAAACATTTCGTTGGTCTTTCACATACATCCCATTAAAATAGGGCTCGGCTGCAGCAGATTGGTGAAGTAAGGAGCATTTTAATATTTTTGCATGTACCTATATGCAGTAGCCAAAGAACATGGAACATATAACCAAAATGTACTGACAAATCAATGTGGTTGCATGTATATGTACATGAAAAGTTAAAGTACACCCAAAGTTTAATCTTAAAATGATTATTTACCCTGAACCACGATTTTAAACTAAATAAGTTAGAACAGCCCTCTCAGCTGCTTCACTTGAAAAGCATGAAATCTGTAGGCTGAGTACCTGGAAGCCTTGGATTAAAAAAAGCTTATTTTTAGTAAGGCAACTGGCTTAGCTAAAGGAACTAAACGTTGGTATGTCCAATAATAATTAAAGTAACTGTGCAACTGTATATTGCACATGTGTTTTTATGTAGGGGCTAATGTTACTTACTCTTGCTTTGATAAATGTTATGCAGTCTACCCAGTCGTCCTAGAGTTCATCTTTTAGATTCTGCATGTCTTAGTCAGCCAAATGTTTGATTACATGCAAGAGAGAAGTATTTCCACAACAAACACCTGTTTTATTTTACCATAAGATAAAGTAATTTATAAAAAATCCTCCAAAGTCCCACTTTTTTTTCTGTTGCCATAGTTGTGGAGAATTTGAAATGAGGTTTCCAGAGTCAGACACAAGCTGTTCTAACACTATCTCTGAGCATCAGGTCCCTCTGGTTGATATTTGAAAGTTGAATGTTCTTTTCCACAACCTAAACAGCCTGCTGACAGGTCGGCTTTGCAACAACTGTTTATCTAATGTCTTTCTATTTTCTACTTAATGACCACATGTGTGAAATAGATTCTGCAGCCAGGCTGGCTTGCTCTCGACTAGCAGTTGCCATGTTGCATTAGACATCAACTGCAGTCTATCAGACAGTATTTGTTTGCAGCCATGGTGATTAAAACACTGACAGTGGGACATGTTAAAAATGGGATTCACATTGTGCTACAAGGATTTTTTTTTTTTTTTTTTTGCAATATAGCACCTTTCATAACTGCATATAAGTAATTGTTTAACATCCAAAGGATGACATTTTTCAGGATCTCTCCTTTGACCAGCAGATGGCATCATTATGCCTCTAAAAATCTTATAAAATTCCTCAATCCTTTGAGAAAAAACCAGAGTATCATCAGAACCAGAGGATTGGAATGAATGCTGCAAATCCTTGGTATATCTTTTAGTGTACTGAATATTTCCTTTTGATATTTCAAATATCAAGTATGGTTAACTCAGATCTCACTGTTATTTATCATAGAGAGAAATTAAACAGATTACCCTATTAGATTTTAGACCTTTTTTTTTGTTTTGTTATGATTGATATTTTTAAAAACATTTCTTTAGATACACTTGATGTTTAGGCTCTGATGCATTCCTTACACTAAAATGAAAATGCACAAAATGACAACTAGACCACAATTTTCTGGAAAATATTCATGACAAAAGTATTTAGAGCAAATAAAATGATGTATTTTTTTTTTTTTTTGCATTAGAAAAATTGTTGCTTTCAACCCTCTGGCTGAAATCTGCTGGAGAGCCCCTAAAACAGCCCAGTGCCTACACAAGATTAGACTCCCACCATTCAGTAAACCACAATGCCCCTAATACTGCTGCGGCAACATGCCTTCCAAGGAAGCCTGATTTTGTGGGATTATAAGGGAGGAGAGCTACATTTTCCAGCTCATTCAAAAAATATAGAAAAACAAAGTATATCCCTGCATAGAAAAACTCGACAGGCACGCAAATATCAGCCTGCATTGGTAGCCGACATGAGGCAAGTGTCTTAATCAAGATGACACTTCAGGGTCATGCCAAATTCAGCTTGGCCTCTTCAATGTGTGAAGGCCACAAGGAGCATGACATCTGTGCTTGAAATGGAGGCCCAGTCTCTTGGTCGCTGCCTCATGTTTTTTCAGTAAGAGGATGTAGTCTGCTGCTTTGAGGCACACAGTCAGGACACACACATGTCAAACACTGTGCTCCCTCGCCTTTGTAAACGAACTGAACCAATGAGAAGAGCTTAACACGGTGCACTCTGGCCACTGTATGGCATATAAATGAATCCAGTTGGATAAATGCAAGATTTTACCAGAGGCTAAATAGGAAAAGTGTGTTTCACAGTGTCACACATGTTGACTCACATACTTTGTACATGCTTTGCTCCACAAACGGCTGATAGAGATCTCATTCATTCGTTTGCATAATTCCAAATTTGTTGTGCCTGAACAGAGTCCAGGGCTGCACCCCTATCTACAGCATCGGTGAATGCACAATGTCTGGGGAATTTGCATGATTGCCTGTAGATTATGTGAACATCATCACCTCCCCCTCTTCCTAGTCCTCCTCTTCCTTTTTATTTTTCATTTTTTCTGTGGCTCTCCACTGTGAGGATGCACACACATCCTTGGGCAAAAGAATCTAAAATAGATCATACGAGCAACTGGAGTAGATGCACAGGCACAGGAAGCAGCTCACGGGCAGACTTGAGTCATGCTGGCAAGATCATGCACCCTGAGCTGACAGCCCAACACACCCGATTACCAATCACGTCACTTGCAAAGATACAGCTGCAGCCTCATATACATTGTAAATAAAGAGTGGGAAATGTGGAGAAATGACCCAGGTTTCCACTCATATAGGACGTCTTAGCAAAGTCTACATTTAAAAGGAAGGCTGTGTGCGACTGGAGACAGACCTGATGAACATCTCTGGCTCAGGCAGCAGTGGCTCATTCAATGTGTCATGTGGACTGCTGGCAATGGCATAACCTTTGCAGGGGGAAAAGAAGACAACACGGTCACTCTGGATAACAGTCTCGCGATGAACAAAAACAGACCCTGTCAGGCCATCTCAGCATCAGTTTTGGGCTGCACACCACTGCAAACACAACCTACCAATCCCTTCTTCCTGCTATCAGTTAAGACGTTTCCTTCTTTATAAGGCATGTAGGCTCCACAGATTTGCTGGAGATGCTAATAATACCCCTCTCCTTTACATCCTCCAACACTATGTGCTGCCTCAGCTCCATGTTTGACCTGTTTTGTTGGAGATATTTGGCCTGTTGCATCACCGTATGGTGCTTGACACAGCCAGTATTTAGTTTATTACAGATTTGGTTGGCATCAGTGCCACAACATTATTCATTATTGATTTGTAATGACTGATTTAAAGAACCATCTGCTGTGAAAGCATGCTGTTTTCAAATTTTTGCAAGAAAAGGCAGTGCTAGGCAATTTATTAAAATGGAACATTTCAGCAGCAGGACAATTCAAAGTGATTTACATGAGGAGAACAAGAAAAATACATTGCAGTGGCATAGAGGCAACACAGACAATAAAAGACAGAAAAGGAATTATTAAAATATAATGATTATATATATATATATATATATATATATATATATATATATATATATATATATATATATATATATATATATATATATATTAAAAAATGAAAGGAAATTTGAAATGAAAACTTAATTGTCTCTATAACCAGTCAAAGGTCACATTAAACAAAACATTTTT